CAGCCCTTCCCGGACCCGGCCGCTGCGTGCCGCCCGCCCCTGGCCCGGCCGGTAACCACAGCGCTGAGCGTCCGCTTCGCGCCTCCTCCAGCCGGCGGAACTGTGCGGTTATGGTCGAACATGGCCGTGCTGCCAGCGGGATAGCCTGGGTCGTGCCCGGAACGCGGAGTTCAGAAACGCCTTGTTACAGTAGGTTGGGAAATAGACTTGGAAAATCTTAAGGAGGACCCTGATTGCACGCAGCTTTCTGTGCCGGTGGAGTCGGGTATCTTTGTTGTTCCTCCCCCTCGTTCTGTCAAGACCCTCGATTTTAAAGTCAAGTTGCTTATAGCAGCAACCTGGGGGAAGCTGGTCACTGGTAAGTGGGTCGGGAGTGTGCTCGAGGGAGTTAACGGCAAGAGCGATGGCTTATCGCTTCTTACAGCGCTTGAACCACCACTGTTTGAGAAACAGGTTGTACCTGCACAGTATATGCTAGCGTGGAATGCTGCATCAGTATCTTCCCCATTGGAATGTTATCTCCGTTGGCCTTGGATCTAAAATGGTTAGATCATAGAATCATAGAATGGTTTGGGTTGGAAGGGACCTTAAAGACCATCTAGTTCCAACCCCCCTGCCATGGGCAGGGACACCTTCCACTAGACCAGGTTGCTCAAAGCTTCATCCAGCCTGGCCTTGAACACTTCCAGGGATGGGGCATCCACAGCTTCTCTGGGCAACCTGTTCCTGTGCCTCACCACCCTCTCCGGGAAGAACCTCTTCCTGATATCTAAGACCGTTAGACTGTTGGAGAGATAAAACACAGTGAGCCAAACCGCCTAATTGCATTTGCCTGTTCATTCAATTTGCAGCAAGGTTTACTCTCTTAGGTGGCCACATCTTTCTCTTATAAATAACTTTTAGATGATTCTGCAAACTCCTGTAGATAAATAGGCATCCTTTCAATTTTGTATTTGCTTTATCGTTAGACATGCTGAGAGGTTGAAACCAGCTGTGTTTAAAATGCTATTCCAGCATTTCAAATGCTGAAACAAGATCACAAAAATTAGTTGAACAAATTAATCAAAAATTAGATTACATTACAAAAATTAGATTAGATTTTTTTTTTTTTTAGTCTTGAGAGGTTTTTTTTCTCTTCTGAAGAAGTTCCACAGGGAAGTATTTTTGAAAATTTAGGATTACTCTCTCATTTTCAATTACTGGAGCATCCAAGATGTCAGTAACAAAAAAAAAAAGGTGGTTTGGAAGTGGCTTTTCCCATCCCCTACTTCTCAGGCGTGGCACTTGGAACATGTAGCATCTTCCTTTCTAGGAAGAGGGTGACCTGAAGTTCATCGTCAGTATAGCTTAGTGATGGCCGTATTGTCACTTTTCTTCACTGTCTGTCTATAAAAACTTCGGATAGTACTCCAAAATTTCAAGAGTGCATTTTTGATCAGTAATCAGCATATAATAACTCCTTAGAAACTATCAGAGTTAGCTCAGAGGTGTCGATGGCCTAATCCACTTCTGTCAGCCGTGTCTCGGAGGTTATTTTTTCCAGCTGAAAAACTGATACAGTTTTGTCAGTGGCAGCTCACTCCTGGGTCTTTTTGGGGGAGCAAGCGGGGAGTGTCAGATCTCTTGCTTGCGTCTTTGGAAAGATCAGTTCCAGTAAATGTGCAGTGTCTGTGAATCGGCTCTACGGTACAGGCAGAATAGCCCTGTACTGTGATAAGGTAGAAAATCCAGAATTTGACCCCCCGATGCAGTGATAAAAGTAGCCGACGTACCTAGAAAACTTAGGCACGTGTCTTGCCTTCCCAACAAAAGACGGGGCAGGATCTCTGGAGAGGGAGACTTGGAGAGCCAAGTCTAACAGGTTTTTTTTACAGGCTAACAAGCGATGCCTTTGGAAAAACTTGAAGACATCAAATGTGCTACCCCAAATTTGGGATTGGGAAGTGAATAGCCTGCGTGCAGTCATTGTAACCTAATCGTAGTAGTTTGGAATATCTGTTTAACAAAAAGGTTAAAGGAATGTTGCATTGCTGGCTTATTACAAGTAATACTCTTGGATGATGCTTAGCAGTTAAGCACAAGCATGACAGGTTTGCGGTGGATGTGCTAATTAATTTGTGATTAGTTATTAATAATTCTGTTTTCACAGTTGCAAAACCCAGTTCTGTCACCTTTTTGTTAGCTGCAGATGGCTCCAAATCGCTGCTCTGTTTTCCTGCTTTCCCTCTGTACCAGTGAAGTTAGCGGGTCAGGAGCAGAGCTCTCCCTCGGGCGGGTTGTTTCGGCACAGGAGCCACCTTTTGCATCGTCCCGTAGTCATGAGCTGGGAATCACAGTAAATAGTTCTCGGGAAGCAATTAGAGGTGGTGGTTTTGGTTTTGTTTCTGGTTTTTTGGTTGGTTTTTTTTGCTCAGTGGTGTTTTTGTCTTAGGATTGCCCCCAGGTGCTTCGGGGATCAAAAACTGAAGTTGAAAAAATGGAGATAAACTGAGTCGATGGGTCTTCTGTTCGCGTCGGTTTAGGAATAGCTCCAGGCCTTGAGCAGCAGCTCGCTGTCCTCTTATCTAGGGTTAAAGTGTTTTGGAGACAGGCAAGGAGATGCTGGCTTTGAGACAATCATCTGTGGTGTATTGGATGAGAAACAGTATTGTTTTTTACTTGAGCCTCTAGCATTTTATGCTTTGGTTTGTTTTTTTTTTTTTTTAAAAAGACTTTTGAACTTATTTGTGGTACATAGAAGGGAAAGCTACTTCTCCAGATCCCAGATGATCTGGGCGTATGACAATCTTACCTGTGTAATTGTATTTGAACAGTAAACCAGAACGACTTCACGGGGTGGGTATGAAGTCCGTGTTTACCTTCTACAAATCGTGGGGGCTGCGGGGGGTGTTTGAACATACCAAGCCCACCCCGCTCCTGGATTCACTTGGCTTTTTAGGGACTAGAATCCAGCGTATTGTAGTTTAGTGTGAGGTCTCATTCCTAGTCCTTTAAGGCATTATGTGAATCTGACTGAGGTTTTAACCACTGAACCTAGTATTCAATCACTTAATTTTTAAGCTGGCATGTGCAAAAGAACACGCTTTGACCAAAACCCAGTGCTAAATATATTATGTGTGTGGCGGTGGGGTGGTTTTTTCCTCTTTAATAAGGTAACGTAAGGTACAACCTGTGTAGGTGAGACCACTATGGAAGAAGTTCTTCCCGGGGAGGGGGGTGAGGTACTGGAACAGGTTGCCCAGAGAAGCTGTGGATGCCCCATCCCTGGAAGTGTTCAAGGCCAGGCTGGATGAGGCTTTGAGCAACCTGGTCTAGTGGAAGGTGTCCCTGCCCATGGCAGGGGGGTTGGAACTAGATGGGCTTTAAGGTCCCTTCCAACCCAAACCATTCTGTGAAGTATGTGCTGCTGAGAATGAAATACCGTTTTGCCTCAGACTTGCTGAATTTGATATGATTTTGAAGAAAGTTTTCTGGCTTTTTTGTAAATTTTTTTTGTGGTTTGAAACTTCCAGGCTGTTACTGGAAATCTTTTATAGTACCTATTCACTGGTTAGTTGGGAAAACGTGAGCACACAGTGTTCTTGGGGAAATATGTTTTGAAGGATATTGATTTTTAAAATAGGCGCCTATTGAAGGAACCTTTTTTTGAATAAGTGAAAAATATGAATATTCTTCCTGTGTGGGAATAAAAAACTAACAGTCAAGATGCAGTGTCTGCAAAGGTTATTTCTTTTCTGCCTTATGCCTTCCACCGTTTCCAGTGTTGTTTCCAGTAGGTAGGACTGGGGGAGCAGTGTGAATGTCGATGTTCAGAAGAGTATGTTGCCATTAGTAGGAAAGTAGGGTGGTAATCAATGAGACAGTGAAACAAATTAGATTCAAAGTGTTCTCAAACACAAGCAAAAGGATGAGAGTGACTGTCATAAATGGGTTGGCGCTGTTAATGATTAAAGAAGCAAAATTAAGATACCTGTTGAGATGGTAATGTCATTTTTAGACTATAATTAGCTCATAATTACGTTGTGGGTGCTGTTTTCTTCACGTTGGGGGTGGGGAAACCTGCAGAAGTGTGGTGACAGAAAACATGCTTTTTCATCTCCAGTTTTCTATTAATACTCCTCTTTTCAGCTCTGTTACATTTACAGAAACGTATAGATTTTTTTTTTCCCCACTACTTATTTTTTTAATAGAATGAAACGAGGAAGGAAAACGAATGAGGCCAACAGCAGTTCAGAGGCAGCCGAGAAAGGATCCAAGAGACACAAGGCTACCGACGAGAAGACCCTAGCTGTGCAAAGACCTGACTGGGCGAACCTGCTTCAAGACATTATCCTGCAGGTATTCCAGTACTTGCCCCTTCTGGATCGCGCTCACGCGTCGCAGGTCTGCCGGAGCTGGAACCAAGTCTTTCATATGCCCGATCTCTGGAGGTGTTTCGAGTTTGAACTCAATCAACCAGCTACGTCTTACTTGAGGGCTACGCATCCTGAACTAATCAAGCAAATAATAAAGCGGCATTCCAATCACCTGCAGTACGTCAGCTTCAAGGTAGTGTATTTCTAAGGCCTTTTTAAAGGAGTTCTATAAAAATAAAAGCACTTGTTAAACTTATTTTTTTTCAGTTTTTCTGCATTTTATTCAGAATGTTTGAAGGAAATATCTGATGCTTTTGAGGCAGTTCTGGTGGTTCATCTGTATAAATATCAAAGCATGGGAAGTATGATTTAAATAATGTCAGTAACTGAAATACTGGTGGTAAGGGGTAATTGACAGCTGTGATCAAGACATTTTAACATGCTGAACGTTAAATAACCCCACTAAAAGTTAGGAAAGGCTTAGGATGTTATTTTTGTGATTAGGATTGCCAGTTATTTAAAAAGAAGTGTGTCAGCTCTCAGTGTGCCTTGTTCTCAGGCCTAGTATACTGAAGAAATGGGTTCTCTAAATGGGTATGTAGACACAGAGGTTCTCTCCCAATTCTTTTATTTAGTTGGATATATTTTCAGGGCCAAAACTCGGAATAATGGCTCTGAACATCCCTTTTCATTGCCTTAATTCCATTAGGTAGGGATTTTTTTGTTGGTTTGTTTTTGTAGCATGTTAGCTGCTTCTGTGGAACGGTCATGGCTGCATATGCATCACCTGTGCGACAGATTTGGAAGGGAAATGCTTTGCAGCAAGGTGGACGTGATAGCGGTTGGTTTCTGAGATCTGGCAGTTTTAGCATGGGAACCATCAGCCTGTGGGTAGCTGGGACATCTCTGCCTGATCGTGTGCATCAGTACTGCTTGATGCACATGTTAGCTGTTTCTGTGGAACGGTCATGGCTGCATATGCATCACCTGTGCGACAGATTTGGAAGGGAAATGCTTTGCAGCAAGGTGGACGTGATAGCGGTTGGTTTCTGAGATCTGGCAGTTTTAGCATGGGAACCATCAGCCTGTGGGTAGCTGGGACATCTCTGCCTGATCGTGTGCATCAGTACTGCTTGATGCAGCATCAGATGTAAACTGGTTGTCCCAAGGTTTGCAGGGGTTTTATCAGTGTCCGAATAAAGAAAACCTGTAGCAGTATTGGGATTGCTTTGCGGTGTGATACCCAGTCTGCGTTGCTTCTCACCGAATGTTTTGGAAGGATTTCAGATACCCTTCACTGATAGGGTGGTATCTGTGTCATTTCTTGCACCCGTCTCTCCGGTTGTCCTTGCAGAATGAACGCTGGGTGACAGGAAATAGTAAATAGCAAGGATAATCGCAAGGAAGTGGATGCAACACTGACTGTTCCTCTTGTCAAGGCTGAAAACTTGGGATTTTTTCTTGTAGGCAAAGAAAGATTGTTGAAAATGGAGGGTTTTTTCAGCTTGTGTTCGAGCAGAAAATGAACATTCGTCGGACTTAGATCGGTTGCTGACAAGGTAGCACGGCTTATGGTAGACTTCAAACTGATCTTGTGATCAAGCTTTTTACTGTTCTGTAGGTTTGCAGAGCTGTCTGGCCTCCTGTGTGTAAGAGGTTATTCGGAAAGCACATCTGGGCGTTGGGGGAAATCCACTGGAGGCACTTTTAAACTGTGTAATGAGCTGACTAACAACAATGCTTTATTCCTGCCGCCCCACCCCCTCGAGTATCCATTGCCTATCTGGTGTGGTGTTGGTGATGAAGGCCCAGTCATACCAGTTCGTACGATAACGGATTAATTCTCCAGCAGCTCTATGTGATGAGCTGAGTCACCGTAAAAGGAATCGGATTTTTCACACGCTACGGAGTTTATAGAATTCCCACATTTTGATAAGAAAATGAAGAGGAAGCGGGGTTAGGCTCGGGACCCAAATGAACCTCCACTTGCTTATTATTTGATGTGGGTGAAATATATTGGGATAAAGTGTTCGGCTGCCCTCTCACCATGCTAAATTTTACCAAAGAGTTTAGGATATTGGTACCTTTATAGCAAATTATTTTGGACTTTCGGTATGTACTTTTTTTGGGTGGTTTGGTGTGTTTTGTTTTTGCTTTATGGTTTGGTGGTTTTTTTGTTGTTTTTTTGGGGGGGTGTTTTTTAAATGACACTGATGGATTCCCAGTGAAATGTTTCGAGGGTTGCTGTGACGTCACATTTCAGAAGATAAAGTGAGGGGATGGGGAAAAGAAAGTAAAAATACATGTTGTCTGCTCTGCTTTTTCGTAAGGAGTGTGTTTGATGCAGTGTTTTCTGAACCAGTAAATCTGTTTTGTTTGAAGGTGGACAGTAGCAAGGAATCTGCAGAAGCAGCTTGTGATATTTTATCGCAGCTCGTGAACTGCTCTCTGAAAACACTTGGGCTAATTTCAACTGCCCGGCCAAGCTTCATGGATTTACCAAAGGTATTTTAATGTGTAGGTTTTTCTGTAGCGAAGTATTGCAGTAGCTCATGCAGTATTTTTAGAACTTTATGACAAGTTTTAGTGTAAGAATATGAATCTTTGGTAGAGAAAACTTTACTGCTGGGCCTTATTAAAGGGAGGAACTGAGATTATGTGCTCAGGTGAGTAACTGTAGTTTTGCTCATTCTCTGCATCACGTGAGAACTTTAGTCCTGACCTTGTTCTTCCAAGTGCTCCTGTCTACTGACCTCAGTGTAATCCCAAGCAACACGATGCAAGTCAGGAGGCTTAGACAGTTCCTGTCGGTGTACTTGCACTGTGCGATGCAGGGGGGGTGTTTCTGAGACGAGGATAACCAGAGGAGTTGGTAGAGTTTCATCCATGTGGGCTTGCTGTAGGGACCGTGTGATCAAAGAGCTCTCTTCAGAGAGAAAGATCACTGTGATTTTCAGTACTTCATGTCACACAGTCGGGTGTCAGATTCTTAAGCAGTGCACTGTATTTCTGGAATTTTCTGTCAGATTTTTACCTTGCGTGTTTGCAAATAATTAGGTTTTTGTTAGAGGGCGTCTAATCTAGAAGAGAACAAATCTCTTGTGTGTCCTTCTAAACAAGAATTGAAGTGTACTGTTGCTGAGGAGGAGTGGTTGGGGTAACCTGGGCTGCTCTAGGGCAGTGACATCGCTGATATCTCGCAGCCTCAGCTCTTGGATCCTGTCCCTGTGTATGTGAAGGGCCTGACACAGGTAGACTGTTAGCTGGATCTCGGTGATGTCATTGCTGATGATGGCGACAAGGACAAGGAAGAACTAGGGACAGCCTCAGGAAAGGAAGTAGGCTGTCGGGTTTAAGCAAGGTTAGCTACAGAAGGATTATCAATTATTATCCCTGGCAGTGATCACAGACACGTCATGTAGTTCCTCTCGAATATGTATTTTTAATTCTTAATTTTCAAAGAGGCTTTCCAGATCTTTAACTCGTTTTTGTATGGGTGTTTTTCCTCTTTTGATGGGACTGTAAGAAAACCTGAATGTAGCGAGAACAGTCCACAGCCTCAGCGTGTTAAAAACTTTGTCCTTTCAGCTCTTGCGTATTGTTTTATTCCTTAATCTGAATGCTGGTTTAGCTCTCTTACTTTGTTTTCACTGGAGGGATATGTTAATGGTCCTATTCAGCTTGCTGAATAGTTACTTGTAGTCATTCATGCTATGACTTTATTCAGCTTCAAGGTTTCTAAAATACAGGCTTCCTTTATTTGTTCCTAATAGGTTCACATGTGGCCTTTAAAAAAAAAAAAATACTCAATGAGCCAAAATCAACTCTAGGCATAATTTGCCTTTTGATGTTTACCACTGCAATAATATTGTCACCGGCACATGGGATCACCAGTGATTTAAATTTTGCTTAGACCACTAATGAAACTGAAGAGTTGAATTGGACCGTGAGTAAGTTCTTGTAGGAAGCCATTAGATACTATAGATACTATAGGCTACATATGCTGCAGTACTGAAAAGACATTAAATCCTCAGCTTTTCCATTTTGGGATACTGCCTGTCTTCTGTGAGCTTGTCAGACTGTGGTTTGAAGTTACCTGTCTTTGTAAACATCGTTCGCTGTCTTTGCCTTTAACAGTCATCTCGGGGAAGGGAGTCACATTCTAAACACAGAGAGTAAAAACACAGCACTAACACTTAGCAATACAGAGTGGAAATATTATTAAAGCACCTTTTTTTCTGTACGTAACATATCAGGGTGTTGTCAGTGTAGGTGGGAGTGGTCCCCGAGGCCAAAATGCCTAATGCTTCTCACTTAAACTTTCTGTTCCCATTTGCATCAACTGATTTTGACAGTTAATATTTTGACGTTAACATGAATTCCTGCTCTAAATCCATCTCTGAGTTTTGGCAAAAACTACAAACGTACCACATTAGAATGAATAAATACTCTTGTCAGTATTTATATCTATTATCTCTTATTAAATCTTACATCTATTTATCTCTTATAACTGTATTCCGTATTCTACACGTGCATGTGGCTCAGAGTGAAACGGTATTGAAATCGAAGTAGCAGGTAATTTTATGGGATACTTAATGTAGTGCATGGAGGAAGTACTTTTTTTTTTTTTTAAGTCTTCCATTCAGTCAGTCATGTAAGAAATCATGAAGATAAACTACTTATTTTCTTCCTTCATATCACCAATGATTTTTACGAGCACTGCTATATCTGCTCCTTAGTCTGTGCTTCTCAAGTGAAGGTGTCCTGGGCTCTGCCTTAACTTTAAAAGCTTCAGTGGTTACATAAAAATGCTGAGGAGCAACCTTGAGCACTGGAGCCACATTCTCTATGCTGCTTAATTGATAATTAATTGATCACCAGGCTCTGTTTGGACCGCTTCAGGTAGCTTTCCATGACAAATCCATTCAGACCCTGAACACTCTGTGGACAGTAGGCAGGCACATCATAGCAGTACAGGGTTGTCACTCTTGACTGCGTTTGCATCTCACCAACGCAGCACAACTCGCATGTGGGAATCCCTGCTCTAGAACATGCTTCTTTTGGAGCAAAACTTGCAAATTCTCCTCAAAATTAGAGCTTCTAGGCTTTCTCTTTGCTCGTGGTCTTCCTTTAGATTTAATAGTTGTGTAGCGAATCGTCCTGGGTCAGGCTCTTGGTTGATGTTTAACGTTAGATGTTTGGATTTGCCAATTACATAGACTGATAGCAAATATTATTGTACTTTGTCTATTCAAAAATATGTCAATTTCAATACTAATTTTTAATTACTCAACATCAAAAGGATGCTTTTCAGCTAGTAGTGTCAGTAAGTAAAAAGAAAACTAGGACTGCTCTGTACACTGTAAAACCATTGGGATTTTTCTTTCAGGTACTACTGTTTCATTTAAACTTTTTTTTTTTCCCCCTCCAGTCTCACTTTATTTCTGCACTGACAGTGGTGTTTGTAAACTCCAAATCCCTGTCCTCGCTTAAGATTGACGACACACCGGTAGATGATCCCTCGCTCAAAGTGCTAGTGGCTAACAACAGCGACACCCTCAAACTGTTGAAAATGAGCAGTTGTCCTCATGTTTCTCCAGCTGGTAAGCCGCTCTGGTTTGGGTTGGCTTTGGTTTTTAAATGTATGCATTAAATTCTGTCTGAAACGAGCGAACCTCTGAAAAAGTGGGGGTGGCGTGGATGAGGATGAATGCGATACCTACAGCAACTGTCCCTGAGTGAAACACTGATTCAACTGGTTGTCCATCCACCTTTTGCCGGAGAGTAAGTGCTGACAGCATCAACACAGGGGAGATGAGACTGAGCTGTGCAGAACTTCTGCCATCACCAAATGTACTTCATTAACGCTCCGAGCGTGTTTGCAGCAAGCGTGACACCAGCTCCTGTCAGAATGAAAGCGCTCGGATTGTTGAAGTTCATAGAATTAGCATTTGTGGAAGATTTAATGCAGTGCACGGCAGGTTAAGCTGACAGGCTGTGAATCAGTCTTAAACAGAGTTTTTCACTGGGAAGTGGAAGAGGAATTATAAATGAGATGCTGGCAGTGTAGTTAAATTCCTCTGCTGAGGATGAGTAGAAACTAGCATAGCCACCACAGCTTTCTTCATATAAACATACTGCAAAGGCAAGTATTAGGTGTGTTATGGGTAAAATTCACCAGCGGGACTTCTAGTATGTTGGGAAAATGACCCCGTAGCAGAGGGCCTGTTGCTGTAGTGCTAACAAACAACACAAACGGTACCTCTTGCAGGTGTAGCTCTCCAACAAAACCTTGCATGTGGTTTTGTATAAAGAAGTCCTGAAAATAGAGGTTTGTTCTGCAGCAGATTTGCCCAGCACAGTGTTCACCGGTGTGTTAACTGGAGTGTTACTCCCTTCAAAGCTTTGTAACTGTAGATGGGGGGTTGTTTAAATTAGCTCGAGTGACTGTGGGTTTTTCTCACTTAATGTTTCGTTTGAGAGCCCTTGTGTCTGAGACACACCGGAGCCATACACAATGGGTCTGTGGAGAGGAAGAGGCTCCAGCAGTAATTTGTAGCTAGGGAATTGGATCCAAGAGCAACCCCTCGGCTCTAGCAGACTTTGCTGGCTTGTGGCTAATCCTTCCTAGAAGGTTTTATGGAAAGTTGTACATTTGATAACTCGGGAGAGGGCGTGGGAACAACGAAGTACGAAACACTGTGAAGGAACTGTGGGTGGGAAATTGAATTCCTGTTTAAGGAACAAGGAGCACAACTACTATTGCCCTTCGCTGAGTGGAGGCGAACAGAATGGGATCAGATGCGTTCGTGGCAAAACCAGAGGGTGCTTCGCAAAGGGCAGGAGAATTTGGTAGCTTAATTCGGGTCTGGGTGTGCCTCGAGATGGAGAAAACAGTGGAATAGAAGAAAGGAGCTGCTGTATGTGGATAGTTGTCTTCAGAGCAGGCAGGCTGCAAAAATGAGACTTTTGAAGGAAAATGAGAAACTTGGAGCACCGAGACTTAACTGGATTTTTTTTCCCTAATGGGAATATTATAATTAGGCTGCTAAAAATATGGAAAAAACTTTAATTGAACTGATTACTTAGAGATGCACTTAAAACTGTGTAACATGCCTTCAGAGTGCAGCTCAGGGGATGGGGGGAACGTTCAGTACTAGCCTAGTTCTTAGGGCTTTTGTTACTGAAGGACAGAGAAGAGTAACACGAGTAGTACAAGAGAGACTCCACTACTGTGGGAATAAAGGAAAAAGATGGATATCAAACTGTGAATTGCTTCCAAAAGATGCTCTGAATAACCCCTAAATTGCTGTGAAAGATAGAGGCATGTTGGAGTTTGGGCTGGAGAAACCAAGGCAGTGGTGAGTTTGTGATCTTTATCAACAGCTCTGAAATCTCTTCTGCTTGCTGTTTCCACCCTCACCACTTTAAAGAACT